ACTCACCTACCGCCCACCTACCCCCCCCCTCCCGCTCACCTCCCTCCCCCCTACCACTCTCTTGCTTCTATAAATAGAGAGGGTATGAGGCTTGGGAGAGCAAGGGAAGAGATCTTAAGGGTGTGAGGCTTAGGAGAGGAAAGGGAGAAGATATCTTAAGCTACCACAAAGGAGGAGAGAATAGCTATAGAGTTAGAGAGGAGGAGAGCATCTTGAGGCCTTGTATCAAGGTGTCGCTTGAGAGGGAGGCCATCGAAGGAAGATGAGGGCTCATCTTTATGTATAAGCTATGTATTCTCCATTTCTTTTGACTTAGTGAAATATTTGATTGATTCCCTCCCGTGGACGCAGATCCAGTTGGATTGAACCACGTAAACGATCTGTGTTTGCTTGTGTTCTTTTGCGTCTCATTTCTATGTCAGGAAGTACATATCTCACAACAGAGCTCTTATATCAGTTCTAAAAATAGGAGTTCTAGTTATTTTTAGCTTGATACATTTTGATGTTTCTAGACTATGTTTTACAGGTTCTATGAATAGTTATTGATATTTTGTGACCTTTAATGATCATTTTTCTTATGTTAGTTGGTTATTATTGATGGAAAATAAGGATGGTGTGTTTGCTTGCTTTAAGAACTTCCACAAAGTATTCCAAACTCAATATAATGCAACAATGAAAGTTGAGGTCTGATAATGGACAGAGTATACCAACAAAACATTTTGGGAATACTTATCAGCCCAAGGGATACAACATCAAACCAAATGTGCATACACACTGACACAAAATGGAGTTGCAGAGAGGAAGAATGGACACCTTCTTAAGGTATCTTGAAGCATGATGATCGTAATGAATGTCCCAAAGCACTTATGGGGGGCAAGAAGTTTTGACAGTTGGTCGATTGATTGATAGGATGCCCTCGAGATTGTTGGATTAAAAGTCTCTTTTTCATATATTGAAAGGGGATAATAGCAAGATCCTCCTATTGAAGATGCTTAGATGTTTATGTCTTGTGAATAATAACAGGCCATCAATAAAGAAACTGGATCTCAGAGCTATGAAATGTGTGTTCGTAGATTATTCTGCTACACGGAAGAATTATCTGTTGGAGCTCAATCAAAAAGAGACTTTGAGTAAGCATGGATGTGTCATTTAGTCATTTAGAGAATTTGAATCATACTATACCCAAACCTTTAGTGCCTCGCCGGTACTGGAGATATGAGACAAGAGGTGAGTAGCGATGGTGAGAAAGTAGTACACGTGGGGGCAATGTCTTATTCTATGATGTGAATCAATTGATAAACCGAAAAATGATAGTGAACCTAGTGGTGATAGAATTCAGGTTGAAGGTGAGCTAAGGATATATAAACGGAGGAAGAAAAACGAGGGAACGCCGCCTGCAATGCCACTTCTGCCAGCTAGTCACTTATCCTGGTCTTCCTCGACTCTTTAGACACCTAAACCATCCACCTCTAACTCAAAACTCCCAGGCAATATGATTCCTCCTTCTTCTCCTAACCCCCTAACTTTAAGGATCTCTCACAACATTATAGGACAATCTCCCATTCATTTTGGATGGGAACATGACATTACTAATTTTGTTTCATATTCTAACATATCATATTTACATTGAGCATTCATTCCATCTTTGGATATTATCTCTATACTCAAGTGTTGAAAGGTTGCTAAGAAAGATTTCAGGTGGATAGTGACTATGCATGAAGAGCTTAGGGCTCTTGATGAAAACTTAATATAGAAGATAGTGTCACTATCAGCGGGGAAAAAGTAAATGGGTACATATGCACTATCATCAGAGCAAGTGGCTGACTACCTCACTAAAGGACTTAGTTTATTAGATTTGTCTAAGTTATGTGACAAGATGAGCTTAGTGGATATCTTTTGCTCATTTGTAGGGGGAGTGTTGAGAATTTGACCTTATTTAGGGTCTTGCTAAAAAGGGAATATTGAAGAAGTCTAGGGCTTTATTTGTATAATTTGTAATACACTATTTACGCCCATGTTATGAATGCACAAGTAGGTTTTAAACAATTCTTTCTTGAAGTCCCGAGTTACAGATCTGCATCATATTGTTGGCAGGGGCCTATTGAAACAAAAAATTGTAAAGAGACCCCCAGCCTCATCCAATCAAAAAAACATTTTAAAGAAACTTCCAAGTTCATTTTCATTACAATGATATTCATCAGTAAATTTTTAGTTTGCAATCCCATAATTCTAAACAGATGAAAAGCCTATGGAAAATCAACAAGCAATTACTGTATAAATGTGCTAAAAAAGCCTTTGAATGGTTGTTTGGTACCCTTTTACTTGTATACCATATCACAGCAAAAAAAAAAATTATCAACTAAAAATAATACCACCTTATGCATTTCAATTCGATCTAGAGCTTGCCTCAACACTCCTTCCATATATATGATTTGCTCCAAGCTATTAACATTTTCAGGATCTGTTAAGTAACTGTAGCAAACAGAGAAGGTGATATTCAATCGTAAATAAGTTAAATGAGCAGAAACTATATATATAGTACAAATTCAGTGTCGTTTTTCATGAATTAAATGCTTTAGGATGACATTTTTATTGTGGAAGATTAAACTCCCTATATATCTCACAGAAGGTTAATATAGAACTGAGCTTAACAAATTATAAGAAATATTAAATGAGGGTTTAGAGAAGACTGCATATTCATAAAGGTTCAAATGCACCCTTAGCGATAACCTAAAGTCTGCAGCATAAGCATAACCAAGAAAACCAACGACCTTAGAAACTGAATAATCTAAAGATGATTTGACCACACATGCTTCAATACTCAACTTAATACTAGTAGTTTCATTCACCAAAATGCATGCAATATTAACATTAAGCCAAAAACTTTTTACCAAATTATTAATTGATAACATACATTCGACCCTCTCCAAAATTGTTCTATTGATTCTTTATGCCACTCCATTCTAACAATGTGCTAGTCCTGCCCCTTCTTCTGACAAAAGTCTTCAAACTAAGAAAAAAAATCTAAGCTAATTTAACTCCTAAATTTTTCATTTTCTTTCTTATTTTTTTATTAATATGTGCCATCCACATTTTAAATGCTTCAAATACATCACTTCATTACATGAGCAGATAACCAAATATTTTCATTAAAAAATCATCTAAGAATTTTAGTTGGAAGCTAGAACCATTCTTGGAAATAAAATCTAGAAGGACCCAAGTTAAATATGGTTCATAGCCTCATTGGTCCTATGAATTATATAGTAAATGTATGTTGACTATTCAAGAAATCACAAATCTCTAAAAATATGCTGATATTGTCTTTTGGAAGGTTTCACCAATATTTATGAGCAAAAAATTAGATAAGGTTTAAGACAAGTGGTTAACTAAACAACTATCTCTAAAAATTCATTTTAGCTTTAACGGCTAGGATCAGACAAAAGGGTCGACAATGTAGCCAACACTAGCTTATTTAGAATCAAAATCAAATTGGACAATCGAATATGGTTGCTAGACAAAAATCGAAGTAGTCTGCCAAGTTAAAATAAAATTGGCCAAGCCAAAGTAGTTTATTTGTCTAAACCAAACCAAACAAGCAAATTCACCTAAATCTAGCCAGTGAAATGTAGTTGATCTTCATGCTTTGCTCCAAAAACTTATTTAAATGCAGTTGTGATCCCCATATTTTTTTCTTTAGCTTTTCAAAAATTCTTTAAATTTAATAATATTAGGAATTGTAATCCTTTAGATAATTAAGATGACCTGAGTTAGCAACTCGATTGTAATTACATCATATTCCTCATCATCGTTGATAGCTTGATCCAAACTATTCGGAGTTAGTGTTATGAATTATCATTTTCATTCGTTCAAATTAAATGTTGTTTGAGATGTTGAACCTATTGTTCAAAAATCATTTTAAACTTCTCCAGTTCATGCAATCTTAAGTCTAACCTTATTTCATTCCTAATACTCTGACATTAATTTTATTAACTCATCTAATCGATGCATTTTCTATCCTTCAAACTTACTCTATTTTTTACCACATTATCTTCAATAGATTTACTTCAACATTTTATTTAATATAATCATTTATTAATTTATTATTCTTAGTTTTACAACATATTCATCTTAATATTATCATTTCTTCTACACTCAAATTAGACATTAATGACTTACAATCCAACATTCAGATACAGACAATGGATAGAATTTGGTATTATAAAATGAGAAATTTACATATGTACCACACAATTCTAATGTATTTACATTGATATTTACACTTATCACACTTTGGTGCATAAACCTTTGCATAAAAAGATATATTTCACTTTTTAAAAGACGGTGATTCTAGTATTTTTTATGTGGTATTAAAAATTTGAGTGGTATGAATGTAAATATATCTTTAGGTGTTCGATATGTTAATACATAAGAATTGTGCCATATGTATGTAAATGTCCCTTATAAAATTTACTTTTAAGTCTCCATGATATTCTCTAATCACAGAAATCTCTCGAGGCACTTCACCATTTTAACCTGCTAACCATAACTCTAGAACTTAACATCTATCTTTATAGTCATTTTTCTATATAATATATCCATCATACTTAAATCTATCACATCTAGATAGTATCTTTACTTTTGAAAATGTTTAATAAATAATAACATAATACCAAGTAAAATTTAATATCATATATTCAATTTTTGTTCTACTAAATTTAAGACAACCATCTCTTAAACATTTTTTCCACTCACATTAATTATTTCAATGAATTTTCACTAATTAGAACAAAAATATTTATTAAAAACATGCATTAAGACACGCGCTTTGACTATCCTTTATAAACATCTTGATGAGTATAGAAAGATATATATTCAATGTTAATCACTAATGTAAACTTAATTGAAAACTCTTAGGTTACTCCATAACTACTATCAACACTAATCAATGCTCCATTATACATTTCTTTGATAACATCAACATATCTTTAACAATCACATTCATGCTTTAAAGGACACCAATCTAACCTTCTGTTACTCGATCATATGAACTCATTGTGCCATTGGACTCGGTGTGGCTAATTTTATTCAGTTCTGATGCAGCCGAGATTTCAATAAGTGCATGAATTTCAACCTATTGCTGATCTTATTGGTCCTAGATTTCTAAATTAAATTATTTTCTGATTTGATCCTTTTTCTATTTCAGCTTTCATTAAAAAAAAAATTGGGTACAAAGAATAACATTTATGACTTACTTTATGTGTTTATTGCCTTAACTATTCATCCCTTTCACTTAAAAGCCTACCCTTAGAGACTTAAAATTCTAAGTTTAGATTGACTTTAAGAAGTTTCAGAAGCTCATTCTAAAAACTAATGCTTTTGATAGAAGTGTGAAAACCAACTAGGAACTTAATGGGCAACTGAGTTGTTCATCTAGCAAAATAAAATTTGAAAATATGACAAACTTAACGAAGAACTGGTAGTTCATCTAACAGATAAAATTGAAAATATCACCTTAATTGCCTTTGAGCATCAAATAGCTGAGATTGTAAGCTTCGTAAGCGATCAGACAACTCCTGATCAAAGATAGAATATTTATCTTAAAAGCCATAATAACATTCAGGAAAGCAACAACTGCAGCTCCATTTTGTGGTCTTCAAAATCATACCTCAACAGTCTGGCTGCTGCAATAGACAAAAAGAGTATTAGAATATTGATTTTTTCGGCCCAAAGTACTATTCAAAAACAAGTTTGCCAAAGTAATTCAATACCTTGAACCCAAAAAGTCTGAAATATTTATATCATGATCCAATTTCTTGAATGTCTTCTTTAGTGCCTAGAAATTTAAAAATAAAAATAAAAAAACACCATCAACATGAAAGGGGTCAGAAAAAAACATTTAATGAAAAATAAGTAAATAAGCTGCTTTAGATGCTGCACAATATTTTCCCTTTTCTGTTAGATCTAATGTAAGATGTGCAGAATGGACTTACCTCAAGGCATTCTAATTTCCTCTTCAATCTCTCTTGTGGGGTCAATTGAACAAACTTTGCCAAAACCTCCTCGATATTGCTGTAAAGAAAGATGTCATATAGAATTATGCAAATAATACCAGGAACCATAATAAGAAAAAGTTATTGAAACAAAAAATTCGGGGAAAAAGGAAAATACAAAAATAAAAAATATGAGAGAAAAATGATTTACAAGGTATTTAGGTTACATAATAAATTATCCCACCATAAACTTTTGAAACCGTTATCAACTAGTCACTAATTTACCAACTAATTTGTGTGACCAATCCTCTTGGATCAAGCCCAAATCAAGTAGTGAGACAACTTCTACCAACTGAATTGTCAAGTTCCATCTATAAGTTTAATAGATCAATTCGTCCGGACAACTCGACCAATTAATTGGTTTTGTCAATTGGACAAGCAAATTTGGTCAATCAGTTTAGCAGATAAGCTTGGTTGGTCTATGCGCCCATTAGTATGGCTAGCAAGTTAAGAGGGCTAGCTTGGTCAATCAATCCTACAAACCAGCTTGGCAAATCAATTTTGCGATAAGGTTATGCGCTCAAACTTTTTATTTTCTACTTCAATCAATATATTCACTATTTCTTGTGTAGCAACATAAGTAGTGTATCCTAAACCGACTTAAACCTATGAATAGATAAGATCACCTTGAAATACAACATCATAAAAGCTCTATGTAAAAATCAAACGTACTTACAAAAATCTTCAGAGTTTTTTTCCTCTTTCTCTATTTTCTATTTATTCTTTTGATCTTTACGACTCTTGCCTATGCAACGTGACTTGTGACTTCACTGGTAGTTCAAAATTCAACATCCTCAAAGGTGAGAAAAGTATAAAATATACCACAAATTAAAAAAAAAGACTTTTCACAAAACAAAACCAAACAACAAAGAAAACACAACAAATGTAGAGTGTGCCATGGAGTTAGTAGTGTAGCAAATGAACGGTTGAAGGAGTATATGTTTATGATGGTCAGGGAGGGGAGTGAGCATCTAGAGTAATGCCTCACTTCAAAATTCCATTTGGTTCTTCGGAATTGATGGTACAAAAAGCAAGAGTGCCAACAACGAAAGTCAGAAGAGCCCGATCATTTATTCTACCCTGACAGTAAGAACTTCTCTCCTTATGATCATGGGAAGGAGAGGAGGAGAATTCACTGAGGGGAGGCAAGGATAATGCTGAAGTTAAGGTGACTGAGAAGTTTAAGAATCTGGCATTGGAGACTTATAAGGTGAGATATGATCCTGCCGATAATGTAGCTTCATCGAATCAACAGTGTCCTACTGAAGATCAATGACGCAATAAGTTGTCATCTATTTTCATGAGATTATGCCAGCCTTTATATAGATAAATTATCATGTAGAGATAAATAAATGATAAGTCACTTGTAGAAATGTATGAGTATACTTCATGTGATGACATACCGAATATGATGACATGATGTTAGCATGAAGAGGCACTGTTGAATCTCTTTTAGTTCGTGAATCACACCCAAGGAATAGAGCATAAGAAAAAAGAGAGAAAAAGAAAGGAGAGAGAGTAGGGAGAGAAAGAGAGCTCTGAATTCATGGGTTAACGTTGTGATGAGTAAAATTTCAATAATCAAGGGGGGTCGTCTGATCTTTCAAAAAAATGTTCTCCCTCTATTACACTTAATATCCCTTTTCATAGTGGTTGACTTATCTAAAAAGACAAAAATAGGCTGTCATTATGCCTAGGCCTCTAGGGATGTATGTTTGTCTTTTTGGTCACATCATCATTAAATTAGGATAAGATCCCTTCAAAGTCAATTGGGTGTGTGGTTGGTGAAGGAGTTCTCTCATCCTTGGAGAATAACACCCAAGGAATAGAGCGTAAAAGAAAGGAGGGGAGAGAAAGAAATAGAGAAGAGAGAGGGAAATTGTTGTATTAATTTTTCTGATAATTATTTCATGGGAGAGGAAGAAGCCCACTCTTACATTAACTTTTCCCTCTTATATAGAAGTAATTTCTCAATATAATATGGGAAAACTATAATTATATATAGATTTTTTGGTATTTTTGACTGTCTAGATCTATTTTTTAGTGTCTTTAGTGTATAAATTATAATATCTCTACTGTCTTTTCTTCTATTGATACTGTCTTCCGCCACTCTTAGTTTTTTATTGTTCTTCTATTTGACACATCCATTGTCTAATCAATTTGTTTGGTCATGAATAAGTTCTCTAAAAGAGTTATTATGAAAATATTATCGAGAAATCACTCTTATGAGATCTATTTTCTTGGATGAATACAGTTGGTCGAAAGCAGCTGGTCGAATACAGAAGACCGAATGTAAGTGGCCAATTGCAGGGGACCAATCACAGGTGGATGAATGCAAGTTCTTGGTTTAGGACCAAATGCAGGTTCCTAGTCTAGAAGATTTTGTCCGTACAATTACACTTATAATTTATCATATATATGATCAATAGATATAATGGTACTGAAGATTTTTTTGAAACATATAATATTTTTTGGGTAATGCAATAATAATTTAAACTTAACAATTAAATGACAATAATTATTCAACTTATATTTAGTTAATCATGCTTTTTTTATCATTCATAAGACATGTCCCAATATTTTGTTGTTTATAATTTGATAGATATAAGTTATAATTAGATTGCTTAAATTTATTTTATCATATCTTAGATGAACTATTGTCAATAACATTATTGAGAGTGGGGCCAAAAAATAAGAAAAAACTGAACCAAAAAATATAGAGAAAAAAAAGATGATTATGAGGCAAAAAAAGTATAAGATAGAAAAGAAATAAATGGTATTTAGGTCATATACTGCATTATCCAATCATAAACTCCTTGGAACTGCTGTCAGCCAGACACTAATCAAGCAACAGTTTTTTACCCAATTTCTCTTCATACCTATTGAAGCATGTACTTTTACTGCAAATATTATTGCATAGGCTTTTACTACATTTGTTGTTGCATTTTTTATTCTTAAATGCACGTACAGGAAACCCAAATAATCAGACTTAACTAAGCACGTACAGTAAATGCACGTACTGTAAAAGCATAGGCTTTTAATACATTTGTTGTTGCATTTTTTATTCTTACAAGAACATGCACGTACAGGAAACCCAAATAATCAGACTTAACTAAGCCCAAATTGCCTAATATTTATCATTAAGCTAATATATCAATCTACAAGCATATCTAGCCATATTTAAAAACATGCAAACGTAACTATCCCATTATAGAGCATGCCATTCATTTATACTCTTCATTAGTCCCGCTTACAAATAACTAATGCTCCTTCGCTATTTTCACTAATCCAACAGCATTGAATATTAGGGGAAAAGAAAAACACTAAGAAAAAATAGATAAAAGATGAAGGATCAAAAAGGTATTTAGGTCACATACTGCATTATCCCATCATAAAAGTCTTGGAACTGCTTTTAACTAGTCACCAATCAAACAACTAGTTTCATGCTCAAATCTTTCTCACACCAACATGAGCATATGCTTTTGTTGCATCTATTACTGCATGTAATTTAATTGCATCGATTCGTGTATTTTGGATTATTATACAGAAATTCATGTAATGGAAACCTAACTATTCAAAATTAATTAAGCACAAGTTTTTCACTATTTATTATTAAACTTATATACATACATATCGGTATATCCAGCCACATTTAGAAATACATGTCTATTATTTTAAACGTTTCATTAGCCTTGCTTCTAAGTGACTAAGATCCCTTAATTGTTTTCACTTACCCAGCTATATTGAATACACTTCACTTGCTTGAAATCAATTTCAAATCATTCATTCTATATCACTCTGGTACTAACAATACTTCAAATTTTTTTATCATATAAAAATACATATAAGATAATGCTATATGCATTAGGGAGGAGAGGCGCCTAAAAAATTATAGGAAACTAATTAACCAAAAGCTATAAGAAAAGGGAAAACGGGATCAGAGAAGAAAGAATAAAAAGGTAAGTAGATCATATTATACATTAAGCCATCATAAACTCCTTTGAGCTGCTATCAACTAGTCGCCAATCAAACAACTACCTTCTTACTCATACTTTCCTCATAACTAATAAGCATATCCTTTTATTCCATCTATTACTGCATGCAATTTTATTGCGTCTATTCATGCATTTTGGAGTCTTATACAAAAACGGATGGAAAGGAAACCCAACTATTAAAACTTAATTAAGCACAAGTTGTTCACTATTTATCACTAAACTAATATACAAACCTATTGGTATATTCATGCAAATTTAGAAATACAAATACATCACTCTCCCAATACAGACATGCCCTTTATTTTATATGTTCCATCGGTGTACATTCTTAATTAACTAAGACCCCTTAATTATTTTTGCTAGCCCAACTACATCGAATACAAATCACTTGCTTGCAATTGATTTCATATCATTCATTCCATATCACTCTAGTACTTCTGATACTTCAAATTATTTTATCATGTTTTAAATGCAGACAAGATATTGCTATAGGCATTAGGGAGAAGTGGCCAAGAGATAAGAGGAAATTAAATAACCAAAACATATAAGGGAAGAAAAGAAAATTATGTCAGAAAAAAAAAAGGATAAGAGATAAAGGATATAAAATGAATTTAGACCACTGTTAAACCGGCGCCTACTGCCTCGTGCTCCACTGAGTCAAGTGGTTCCATTGAACCCACCCCAAGCCCGCCAAATAATTTAAAGCCCTATTTTATGCACACGACTAAATAGACAATTTAGTCATTCATTAGTTATTATTATTTGGTTTAAATAGGGTTAAGATTAGGATTGGGATATGGGTGATTGTCATTATTCTTTTAGGAGTTCAGGATTTGGGAGAGATTTAATCAACCTTTAGAATTGTAGGTCTATTTTATTTGTGTTTGGGATTGTGTTGTTTTATGCCGGTTGAATAAAATATTTTATTTCCCTCTAATCTCTGTGAAAATTATCTCATTCCTGTCAAACACATGCTACATCATTCCATCATAAATTGCCACCAATTTAACTTGTTCCTTAACCATGTTCTCTTCATACTTACCAGCGCATGCACTTTTTCTGCATCTATGAGTGCAAACGCTTTTACAACATCTATTGTTGCGTTTTAGATTCTCATTAAGGAAAGTCATGAAGTGGGAACCAATCCGCATAAATATAACTAAGGATAGTTGTTCGCTGTTTATCATCCAACTAATATACCGATCTAATGCCATATCTGGCCACATTTAGAAATACGTTTACATCACTCTCCCATTATAGAAATGCCCTTTATTTTAATTGCCCTATTTGTTCTGTTTTCAGATAATTAAGACAGTTTCCCTGATTTCTATTAAAATAAATTTCATATCACTCTGGTATTTACCCCTTCTCCCTGGAAAACTCAACCATCAAGCTGCAGCACAGAAGTTCTGATTCGAATAGGTTGTCAAATCTTAATGTAAATTGAAAAAATATATCCACAAACATACCTGCGCTCTCCGTAGCATAAGGTGGGCTTTCCCGTTGGCGAGAACATGAGAAGTAAAATGTCAATATCGCACAATATGGCGAGCTCCTTCGATTTCTTCAATATACCTGCCCTGCGCTTCGAGTAAGTTACTTGCCGCCCACTCGTACTCTCCAATTTCTTTATTTTAAGCTTCACCCTCCCCATCTCGTGATTAGTTCAGCCGCACCCTAATCAAAAATCGGAAAAACTGATTGCTGCACCATCGCGATACCAACAAGCAACAGAGCAATCATTCCACCGCAGCCATCTGGAAGAAAGCCGAATGGGATGATATCGCTGTCATTAATAAAGGAATAACTCAGAGAAAAATGTAAAGATGAAGGAATGAAAGGGATAGGAAGGATGCTCTGCAATGTGATAAGTGGCGGAGCGCACCCTAATCACTCGTACTCCACCTTCGCACCTCACCAGATAGGAAGGATGCTCTGCACCGATCCTAAACGAATGAAAGGGATCGGTGGGACGAGGATAGCGCGAAGGAGGAGAGGTGATTCTTACGGATGTGAGCGAGAACGGGAGTACCACAAGAAATCTCCGGTGAGGTTGGGCAGTCTACCGTTTTTTCGAATTCCATCGCTTTGATTGGCTAACAAATGGTAGACCCCGCGGAATGGATGGATCGCGGGTTGCCTGGCAACGGCAGGGCGCTGATTCTAACGGCCTGCAGTGACAATTCATACAAAAATTTATTTAGATACATGCCACATAATTCTTATATATTTACATATATATCAGTGTATATCTAGATTGTTATATTTGAACACATAAGACTCAAATTTATAAGATCATATCAAAAATGTAATAAAAAATGTAATGCTTACTAACTTCTTAAAAATAAAATATACATTTTAATAAAAATATTTATAACACTAAAATATTATAAATATTAAATATATAAGAATTGTGTGTCATGCATATTTTGTGACAGAATGTTTGCTATCGGTAAAATGATAATTTAACATTTTAACATTGTATGATGATCCAACACACTCAAATAATTTAAAAGTAGCAAGATGAGACACTAAATTTTTTTACATGTAAAAACTAGAAAGAGAAAAAATCATTAGACCTAACTTAGACAAAGTATTCTATTATAAATCTATAATTATAAACAATGTTTTGTTTTCCCGCAAATGGGAGAATAGAGCTACAACTTCACACTAAATATAATGTTTGTATGTACACAACATACAAAAAATTTCAGGGGTCTAGAGCGAGTCGCCGTATTTTAAAATTCGCGGTCGTAAGTAGTTGTCACCAGGAGTTAACTATCGTTGGATCTTCAATACAGTGTTACTTATTGTATTGTATTCGGGATGTGTCGTTTAGTGAGTAACTTGCCCAACCATTTGACCGAACAACTCATATTGATACCCCTTGATCATAGGATTTTTTTTTAATAATTTGATGATCTTAATGAACTCAAAATTATTGGAACTTAGGCTTGTTGGATTCTTCTCATTGAGACGCTCAGTTTGAATATAAATATGTCAAATTTAGAATTCATTTGATCATTCAATTGATAATCTGAAACCTTTAAGACTGTTCTAATGGCTTGATATGGAGTGACTGGACTCGGATTGGACCAATTTTGGTATCATTAGGATTTTCTTGTCGAGATAATTAGTTTTGAAATTAGGGCTTGATCTTTAATTTAAATTTAGAATATTTCTTGTTAAAAAAATGCCTTGAAATTTGTGCAAAATGATACAAATTTGTCAATAATGTATCGGTTGTCCCTATTTTCGAGTGATGTTGTCTGTCTCATTCGAAAATAAATATTTCATAAATTTAAACTTTAAGAAGTTTTAAGTCATTATCGATATTGGTTGCTATTGCACAATTGTCAGTGACTAGGCAGTTGTGGTCCAAAGACGATGGTGGCAACCAAACAATGTTACTCCAGTGCTAGTAGAAACCATAGGGAAGTGGTGTGCGTTTGTACTAGCAAAGGAGTACAAATATGTATTAAGGACACAATAAGGTCAACAGGCAAGCTTGAATAAGAGCAAGGAAGCAAATGTGAGTCTAGAAATATTGACATATTAATGCCTATCACACAGGTGCATTTGCACACTTGAGTGTGTGGCTATGTCATGCAGTGGCCATAGTAGACCACAAACATGAGCTAGCTGGGTTGTACGGTAGGCAACAAAAGCAGACTCGCAGTGTGACAATCAAGTCAAGATGGGTCGAGTTGTAGATGGCGGTCGTTTTTGTAGGCTGTGGATCGGGTCAGGATGGATAAGAATGTGGAAGGTGGGCGAAATTATGGGCCTGAAGATGTAGCCTGACTTGATCACGTGCAAGCACAATGCATGTATTTTTGAGAGCTTGAGCGTGTTTGTGCATATGTGCACGCTTACTGATGGTTTCGGGGTGAAGTTTTTTAAAGTTCCCTCCTTTTTATGCCAAAACTCTAAATTTTAATTGCATATAAAAAGAGTTGTGAGTTCTCATCTTTAATGTTCCGAGAATTTGAGATGAGTATGATGGGAGAGCTCAACTTTTTATTGGGCCTTCAAATTAAACAACTATAAAATACACATTGATTTGTCAAACTAAATATACAAATGAATTAATTAAAATATTTGATATGATAAAAAAAATTAAACCAGGTTAAACCTCATGTGCCCTCTACAAAAATTGAATTTGGTTGAATCAGAAAAGTTAGTTGATTAAAAACTTTATAGAAACATGATATGTTCACTTTTATACCTTATTGCTAGTAGATAAGATAATATGTTTGTAGTTGTTTTCATTCATCACACATCATAAGTCTTCATTTCATTGTTTGCCTAATATCGTCGTTGTTGTTGAGGAGTCATCAGTTTATTTGTTTGTTATGGTTCCCTTTTCCCAAAATAATTCTCTGTCTTAGATCATGCAGATGAACTAAGAGATGAGAAATCAGAGGACTATGAAAAGCAATAACAAGAACAAACAAAAGAAATATATGGGAAGATTTCTTAAGGAAAATTTTTGCATTGATTGCTCCAAAATAAAAATCCAAAGTGAGATCACTTAGGTATGCTTTAAAGACACAACTATAAAAGAAACCTTATGAAAGTAAACTACTAGAGAATTCAGGTTGATATACCTATTCTAAGGTTTGCATCTTTCTGTAAGGACAAGTCCCTATAGTTAATTACATATTAAGTAGTCAAGACTACTTTAAAAAACTACCGATTGAGGTTATAATTTGTTCTCACAAAATTCTTGTGTTGTTATCGAGGAAAGGAATGTCAAATTCCTATCCTAAAGGTAACAAATTCCTAAGGATTCTGAACTATTCTAGAATTTTGTTTTGTCGTCAATGGTTTAGTTGAGGTCCATCCTTTTCCTCCGGGTTTTGAAAGTTTGCCCCTGCAAAACAGAGTTAGCATACTCTAATAACATATAAAGTAAATCTAGGGTAACATCCATCTTTTGTCTTCAGCAACCCTGTAAAATAAAGTTAGTAGAAAACTATGTTTTTGTTTGTTAATTTTTAATTTTTAGACAACCCGATCAAGATGTCCATGGCTCTGTTGTCCCGGGGTCGTTGGGCATCCTAGTATACTTAGTGTAAGAAGTGGTCAACCCTACTCTAACCAGAAGATTATTGTCAGCAACCATGGATTGCATCATCCAGGAGATCTTCGTAGATTCAGATATTTGAGGTTCAAGTTGTGTTTAATGTACTTTATTCATTAAAGTTTCATTTAAATTTTAATTTCTTTTTTAGATTTTAGGAGTTGAAAATTTTAGGATTTTTAAGACTTATTAGATGATTTTATTTTTATTTATTATTTTATTTTTATTGTCTAGGATGACCCGATCAAGATCTCATGGTTTCGTCATCCCGAGGTGATTCATGGTTTGCAGTTTGATTAGTCACAAGTGATTGGAAGATGTATTGTTAGCAGTCAAGGGTTGCCTCATCCAAAATGCTTTCTCAAACCAAGTTGCATTTTTGGGTTCAAGTTTAAGTTTTAGTGTTTTTTAGAGTGAATTTTATGTCATTTCATTTAGGTTAGATTGGCACTTTAGCCCAAATTGTCCCTAACTGAGGCTAAGTGTGCTTCTGTTCTCGTATGAGAAGTCAAACCCTACTTAACCTTTAGTCTCCTAGGTATAGGTTAAATTTAGAATATTTCAAGTTGAGTTGAATTGATCTTAAAGTGAGTTTTCGAGTAATCCGAGTTAACCTAATTTAGGTTGATAATCCCTTAGAATATCTTTAAACTTGTTTAAATCGACCTACGCTCACTAGGATTTTCCCAGGTATACTTAATTTGATTGGGGTCAAACTATTCTTACTTAGCTTAAATTGACTTATTGTAAGCCAAGTTAAACCAAGTTGGATTAACTTGGAAGTAGACCATGTCGAAATAGAATGATCTAAGTAAAACCTGGGTTGAATCAAGTTTAAGTTAAATTATACTTTGGTGAAGTCTAAATTAATTTAAACTTGAGTTTTCTATTTAAGTTTAAGTTGGGTTAGACTTAAATCAATGCTTAATTAAATTCAGGTAGAGATTTAAGTCAATCTTGAAGTTGAGTCTCAAGTCGGGTTGATTGGAGTTTAGTCTGATCGTCCTAAAGAAAAATTTATCTTTGGGTTAGCCTGAGTTAGGTCGGGTTATCTCAGAGGGTTGAGTTTATTTTAGGTCAGTGTAAGTTAGGTCGAGCTGACTCAGAGATTGATTCAGTTGTATTGGGTTAACCTGAGTTAGGTAGGGTTGACCCGGTGACTCGGTTGAATTGGGTTAACCCGAATTAAGTCGGGTTGACCTAATGATGTAGTTGAATTGGGTTAACAAGAGTTAGGTTGGGCTGATCCAGTGAAGTAATTGAATTGGATTAACACGAGTTAGGTCGGATTGACCCGGTGGTTTAGTTAAACAGGGTTAACCTTAGTTAGATCTGGTTGACTGACCAAAAGAAAATATATTGAGATTTTCATACCTATCTTATATTGTTTTTGATAATATTGCACTTTAAAGAAAAGTATTTTTGATATTTTGTTGCAGGAATGATGAATTAGGATCATTGGAGCAGAAAGATGCAAAAAGGAGCGAATTTGGAGCGAAAATGACTAAAATGTGAAGATTTGAACTAGGGTGCCCCTAACGACGCCGACATCGAGAATTTTCCGAGACTCCAGATTGAAGAATTTAGAAGGCTCGCCGACGACGCTCACGAGGTCGCCGGCCGCGGGATCGAGGGGTTTGATTATGTTGCATTGGATGAGGACGAATTTTGGAGGGGTGCTTAGGCAACTCTTGGGAAAACTCATCAACAAATTTAAAAAAAGATTTTGGCCAAAAATTGGAGAGGCTCTGTACGTTAGAGAGGTTTCAGTAGTGTGTAGAGAGTTCAGTAGAGAGTCTAATTGTGAGGAATTCTTTGAGAGATTGTAAGAGTGGAGGGAAAGTGAGAGATTTCTTCCTCTTTGCCGCTTCGAAGAGGAATTCTGTGTGTTGTAAAGAAAGGAAGAGATTCAGAGG